GCTGCACAGGCACCCGAAAATGGCCGCCCCTATGGAGGATTTTCGCTGGACGGTGAGTTCTTAGCCGATTGGAACACATTAACCAGGTTTTAATGCGTTTCAATGGCTTTTTTATTTTTGCTTTACGACGTTTTCGTTCTACAGCGATTTCGTTGGAACGAATTAACGTCATAATGCGAGGCACCACTGTACAAAACTTTATATTAAAAAACAATTAAACATTGATCCAGATCAATACCAATTTTAGAAATGTTTTTAAAAACGCTTAAACATATCTAAATTTCTGAAATTGTTTCCTAGACCCCCACTTCCTGCTTAAAAGCCTGCCTGAAAAGAAAGGTCTTTGTCTGAGGATGGAAGGATGAGAGGGCTGGGACCACCCTAGATTCTTGGGGCAGTACATTCCAACGCCTGGGAGCAGCCACTGGGAAGGCCATCCATCATGTTCTCATCAAACAAGCATATACATATTACAAAATATAATAAGAAAGGTCCCTGCTGGTATACATTTTTAGGAAACACTGGTTTTTCCCCAAAGTCATGCAACATGGCATGCAGAAAATAATGTCTATGGAGATTTTTGATTGACAGGAATTTGATTCTAAAAGTTATGCTTTTTGCATAACTGTGCAAAAGGATTTTGACTTACATATTTTAGTCAGCTAACTTTCTTCATAATCCTGTGCACAGATAAATGTGATTTTCTTTGGTAAAGTTGATTCAAGAAAAAACCATCAGTTCATCAAATGGAATCCTTTACACTTTACCTATGGCCAGGATATTTATGTGACCAACATAAAGCTGATTATTTATGTTAGTAAGACTCTTCATTTCTTTATCCCACAACCAGATGCACAATGCATAAAAATTGTGCTACATGTATCTGAGGAAATGGACTGCAGTGAACTTCAAACTGAAATAAATGTGTTAGTTCCCAAAATGCCACATTGCTTTTTTTAAAAAATTACATATACATGATACATAGAAGCAGGCTTCTTTGAAAACTTTTTTAAAAAATAATTCTACTGGGTGAAAATTTCTTTTAAAACTGAAATGTGAGATCAATGCTGGCCTGACCATCTGAAATAAAAATCAAATTTTATGAACTTTAAACTGAAATAAATGTGTTAGTTCCCAAAATGCCACATTGCTTTTTTTAAAAAATTACATATACATGATACATAGAAGCAGGCTTCTTTGAAAACTTTTTTAAAAAATAATTCTACTGGGTGAAAATTTCTTTTAAAACTGAAATGTGAGATCAATGCTGGCCTGACCATCTGAAATAAAAATCAAATTTTATGTCCATCTCCTGTCTGCATAAACTGACACAGAGAGGAAAGTGGCCCCTTGCTTTGTGTATGTAGAAAAGAGAGCCCTGGATTCTGTCAATACCATCACAGATTTCATTAGTAAGTCAGTATGCGCTACCCTTGTTCAGCCATTCTTAAAGCATGTGGTCCCTACCCATGATGAGAGGAGTATGATAGTCATGTACCCTTTTATGTAGGCTGTTGATAAGCTAGGACCCAAAGACTACAGATAAGAGTAGCTTCTCCCTTTTCAAACTGTCATTTTCATTCACTGAATGTGACAAATGAGAGAGCTGGATTTATGCATTCCCTGTACTGAATGTGGGTACACTAAGAAAGAGTGAATAGTGATTTCAACTAACAAGCTTAATCCATTAAGTTTAATTGAACCATCCTTGACACTAGGATGGACGAGTCCTACCATTAGGCAAGTTGTCTCAGATGGCAGGCACTGTAAAGTAGTACTAAGGTGATGGAAGAGAGAGTAGTTTTGTGTAGCCTTTCTTTCATTCTCTAAGCTCTAGCCTGTTGTCTTTGATTGTGGTGGATGTCACTAGTGCTAAAGCTGCCACCCAGTCAACTTTTGTAAGTAATATCGAAGAGATGCCACCACTTCACATTAGGCAACAAAATGTCTTGAACCAGCTGTGGTTCTTGATCTAAACTTTGAGTGTGTTTTAAAGATCATTCTCATCATGGATGTCAGAACTGGGATGACTGTGTATTAATACTGTATATTAAACTTGATTCCAACAGACATTAGGCTATCCTTTTGTCTTTACTGTTAGCTTATGGAACGTGGCTTTAGAAAGGAATTTTCAGATCTTCCAACTCATCATATTGACCAACTATTCAAACTTTACAAACGTCGACCAAGGTAAGTTTTTTTTCCTGCTAGTTCCAACTATTTCTTTAAAATCTTTGTGTTTCTTCTTAAAGCACAAAGTAAAATATCTTCCTGAAGTTGACACTGTCTTAACTCAACTGCTTTCAAAAGCAGTAACTAGACAGAATAATCATGATACCAGAGCCATTATTGTGGACAGTCAGCTTACTTTGCCAATGCCGGTAAACACATGGGTTTGGATCCAGACTTAAGAGTCATGTTGTAGGCCCCCTAAAATCAGTGAGGCTTTTAGTCATGAATCTCATGATTAATTTGTCCTAGAGACTTCAAAGGCACTAAAGTGTGACAGGTTCACCTGGATTTAAATCCTTGTGTTTGCCTGAACTGATGCTTTATTGTTCACTTCATTCAGTTCCATAGTTTACAATCTCAGCTGAGGAATCTGCACAACAACTAACTTGAGAATCCATGGAAATCTGAGTAAAAATACAAAAATACATGCTTTGATAGAAATTAAATGGTATTGTCTTGATGTCTGTATAAACACATGAATGCATGTGACATAGCCTTGTATTTAATAAGGAATTTGCAAGTCATGGTAGTTACAAGTGAGGTTAAAATATACTTTTCTTCCCCTGCCTCCACCTCCTTGATGTAATTTAATTTCTTCCCACCCACCTCTTTGTACTGATAGAAAGCAACTATTGCTATTCAGTTAACTTTATTTTACTTCTATTGCCCATTCCCTGGCCAGTTCCTCTATTGTACAAGCACACATATCTAGCAAGAAAAGAGGTAAATATGTGTATAACATGCCCAGCAAATATACAAGAAAATATGCTTCAAATATAGATACATAGCAAGCAGGTAGTCGTCATTGTTTAGTCGTGTCCGACTCTTCATGACCCCATGGACCAGAGCAGGCCAGGCCCTCCTATCTTCCACTGCCTCCCGGAGTTGTGTCAAATCCATGTTGGTTGCTGCAATGACACTGTCCAACCATCTCATCCTCTGTCGTCCCCTTCTCCTCTTGCCGTCACACTTTTCTAACATCAGGGTCTTTTCCAGGGAGTCTTCTCTTCTCATGAGATGGCCAAAGCACTGGAGCCTCAGCTTCAGGATCTGTCCTTCCAGTGAGCACTCTGGTTTGATTTCCTTTAGAATTGATAGGTTTGTTCTCCTTGCAGTCCAGGGGACTCTCAAGAGCCTCCTCCAGCACCACAATTCAAAGGCATCAATTCTTCGGCGGTCAGCTTTCTTTACGGTCCAGCTCTCACTTCCATACATCACGAAAGGAAAAACCATAGCTTTTACTATTCTGACTTTTGTTGGGAAGGTGATGTCTCTGCTTTTTAAGATGCTGTCAAGGTTTGTCGTCGCTTTCCTGCCAAGAAGCAGGCGTCTTTTAATCTCGTGGCTGCTGTCTCCATCTGCAGTGATCATGGAGCCCAAGAAAATAAATCTGTCACTGCCTCCATATCTTTCCCTTCTATTTCCCAGGAGGTGATGGGACCAGTGGCCATGATCTTAGGTTTGGTTGTTGTTTTTTTTGGATGTTGAGTTTCAGGCCGTTTTTTGCAATTTCCTCTTTCACCCTCAAGCAGTAAGTAACCAAATTCAAATGTGTTAGAAGCAATGATAATCAACATTTATGTAGAGCAGTCAGGAAATCTTGTTACACATTTGCCTTATAAAATATCTTCTGTCTCCTCCATGTCACCCAAGTAGTTTAAAAAGAAATTAAGATTCACTATTGAAATAATCTTCACTTCCAAAGTTGTTTGAAGTACAAGGTAACTATGGCTTGCCCCATCCCCACCTTCCCATGTTGGTATGATAAATAGAAAATATTCGCATTTTATTACTCTTTGCATTACTGACATGAAACAGTATTCGGTCACTAGAAAAAGCCGTAGGTTGAAGAACTGTTCCCCTCATGTCCACAGTATGTCTCCAGGAAGGAAAAATTAAATAAAACCAGTGTCAAGGTTCTTTTCAGCCCTTGTCGTAGCCTATTCATATGTTATTTTTAAATTTTGGGTGATTACAAAAGTAAGGAACAAACCAGCCCTCAGCCAAACAAGCTGAGAAAGAAAAAAATTCATGTCAGTTGCAGAGGGACACATGTCACAATAGAAATACAGTACAACTAGAAACATTAAGTGACACTATTAGCATCCTTGTTATGTTGCATAGATAACACAGCAGAAAACATCTAATCCTTATTGGTCAATTGTGGTCCATGACAAAAGGGCTCTCAAGACAAAGGTTCAAGCGGATGCAGCGAACCCCTATGGCGATCGGCCAGGCTCTGCCAAAGTTTACCAAGATGCTCTTGCTCATTTAATGAAAGCAATTGATGAAATGGATGATCCTGAAAACAGACCTGAAGGTCTAGACCTTGCCAATTGGGAACACTTCTGTGCAACTAGACGAGCCAAAGTAGAAAGTGAACAACAGGTATGTAAAATTATTGCCAGCACACTTATTTTTTCAAATGCAAATAATATATTCAGATCTAGATTATTGCACAAAGTGCAACAATCCTGGGACTTCTCTGATAGGAACTGTATAACAAGGTAACACATAATGTAAGTCATTCCCTTTTTAATCCTTCCTAGAATTAATAATGTAAAGGCCACACCCAGGAAATTACTTGTACTTCCTTGTGGTTTCTATGACTCATACTAATGGGTCATTGATTGGTAGAGGAGGCTCCATGGCATTGACACTCAACATCATTAGTTCTATAGTCCTGATCCAAGCTGTCCTCCATCTCCCCTACATTGCAATTTACAAAGAATCTCTTCAATTGTATGCTTTGTCCACTGAGGTCTTCTTAAAAAATGTGCAGACTGTGGTGGTAAAACCACAGGTGACTAGATTGTTGATTTCTTATTTAGCAACTAAATCAGTGGTTCTTCATCATGGATCTGCTCTCTCGTTGACACTAACAATAAGATACTGGTTTTAAAAGCATTTATGTAGCTCTGCTAAAGACATGCCATATATTCATAGTCTCAGCAAAAGGTTCTTTCAACATTTACAAAGCAAACATGTTCAAAAGGCTCTCTTCTTCTTTGTTAGATGAAGCAAAAAGCACTGATACTGGCAGAAATGCAGACCTTTCTTCAGAAGCGAATTGAAGATGATGAGAAGATTCGTAAAGATATTGACCATATTTTCTCTGAGATCAATTTGCAAGTTCAATTTTTCCTTTTTCTTTTGGGAAATATAACATTCAAAGATAAATCTGTACAAAGATATCTAATCTGAAAGGCAATCACAAATTATACAGTATTATGGATTTAAGGCTATATTACCCAATGCCTACCCATGTTTCTAGTTAAACATTGGTGTAGGTAACTAGGGATATCTAGGGATTAGCCGCCTAGAGTGGCCTTTTAGGCCAGATGGGCAGGGTATAAATCAAATAAATAAAATCAAATAAATAAAATATCTCTTGTGAGAAAGCAAATATGCATATCCATGGGATATAGCTGCCACAGAGAAGGCACAAACAGCTAAATCAAAGTCTGTTCTAAATTAGAAATGTTACTAATTAGTATTTCCAGTCCTGCAACACATATAGAATTTATACCACAAGTACATTTCAGCTCATTGTGCAACCTTCTTTACAGTATTCAAAATATAGCTGGATTATGTGATCATCTGAAATTTTCCCACTGAGAAAATTATATCTAGCTTGTTCTACCAAGGGCAGTAAAAAAAAAATCTTCCAATCTCAGACTTGTAAAAGTGAGGCTCGCCACAGATGATTGGCTGATTGAAGTGTTCATGAATGCTTCTACTCACACAGTGAGAATTTCTGTTTGGGCCTTTACATGCTCTTTAAATATCGTCTGGAGGGCCACAGCCTCTAAAATAAAACTAGGGGATGTAAGGGAAGGCTTAAGGGAAAAAGGGGAATTGGATCCACCAGCAGTGTCCACTCCACTAGGGGAATAACACTACTGGATTTTTGTGATCACAGAGGAATTTAAAACAAGCATTTTAGTTACTGGAAACATTTATTTATTTATTTATTCATTCATTCATTTATAGGCTTCGAGAGCAGAAGATGAGATTTCAATTAGATCTGATGGTCCAGTTTCTGTTTAAACAAGGTCAAGTGGAACTAGAGGGTGACAACTTAATACCAGATTACACAGATGCTATTCTCATCAACAGGAGCATTATTGAGGAATTGAACAGTGTGATACGGGTAACTACTTGTTTCAGCAGTACTGATCCTCTGTAGATTGCCTAAACCATATTTTGAAACTTAGAATTTACAAAGGAACTTTAATTTACCTGACTCTCAGCTTGGCTTCTAAATGACATTTTGCTCACATCGCTTACCTTCCTTCTGTTACTCCTACTAATAGGGCAGAAGCATTTAATGTGCAAATATTGTAAAATCACAGATACTGTATTAAATAAATGAACCAACAGAGCTCATGACCTGGTCTCCTATTTCTTACTACGCATGAGTTTTTATAAACCCATATTGGCTTATTTCAGAGATAAATAAATTGTAAAACTGTATCTTGGTTTAAGAGCGTCTTCTCTTTCTAGGCCCAAGGAGAAAAGAAAATTGCAAGCATGGTGGAAAGCAAAGATTTCCGTAAAGGAATATTTCAGTTGGAATGGGAACACAAAAAAATGAAGATGCAGATGGAAGATCTGAATCAAAAGGCTCGGGATATTCAAAAACTGAATGTTACAAAACATCACCAGATTGTAAGTTGTTATCCCAAATTCTACATTTACTATAAAGGCAGCAAGTTGTACGTGTGTGTTTGTGACGGTAAGTTGTATGCATTAACAGCTGCATCAACGAAGTCTGTTCTGTATTATTTTTATCTGTTGAACGTATATTGTACTTTTCCATCAAATGGTTGACATAGGATCCTTTTCACTGGCATCTTGCCAAAGTGGTTTCTGTGACTAGTATAGTAAGAAGATTACTGCTACATGTTGCAATCTGTATACATTAACATGTTATTTTTAAGCAAATCCAATCGAAACCACTCGAAGATTTGTTAAGGGAAAAAAGTTGCAACACACTACAGTGGTGCCCCACTAGACGATTACCTCGCAAAACGACGAAGCCGCATGACGATGAGTTTTTGCGATCGCTATATCACTTTGCAAAACTGTTTCCTGTGGGTGATTTTCGCTATATGATGTTTTGGTCCGTGCTTCGCAAGATGTTTTTTTTTAGGACCGATATTCACAAGACGACGATTTTAACAGCTGATCGGCGCTTCGCAAAACGGGTGTTTTCGGGACCAATTTTCGCAAGACAGTGATTTTAACAGCTGATCAGCGCTTTGCAAAACAGTTTCTCTATGGGCGATTTTTGCAAAACAACGATGATTTGTCCCCATTGGAACGCATTAAACTGATTTCAATGCATTCCAATGGGAAACCACATTTCGCAAGACGATGTTTTCACAAGACAGCTATTTTCGCTGAACAAATTAACAATCTTGCGGGGCACCATTGTATGCAGCTTGTAGGAGATTCCATTTGCATTTGGAGCATCAACTCTGATATGATTTTCTATCTGCTTTTAATTCCACAGTACTTATCAGAATTAAACTATGATAGCCGGATCAATCATGAAGTCACAGTAATGGAAGGAACACTTAATTTTCTAGATAAGGTAAAATTTTCATGGGGTATGTACACTAAACATACGTTTATGGAGCATCTTGGGATATAGGATACACCCACCTTAGCTCATTCTTTATAACTGCCCTCACCCTATTTAGCTTTGTCACTATTACTTTCTGCTAACCATCAAGGACCATCTTTGAATGCTTTCCATTACATATTTTTCAATAGCTTCTATGAGGAAGACTCAGCCAAATTTTACACTAAACACATAAATAAAAGCGACTTCATCTGGGAAATAATACTTGATTTAGTAACTTCTCATCAACATCTTCCAAGCCATTAGCGTCTATCGTTCATTTATTTCTATTGGCTAGGTTCACAAGAAAAACATTGAACAACGAGAGAAAGTAATCAAAGAGCTGGAAAAACATATAGGTCTGAAAGACCTAGCAAATAATAAGCTCAGCAAGGAATTACAAGAAATGCTTGTTACTGTGTCAGAAAGGCAGCACATTAATGAGGCTACTGGTGAGTTACATTGCAAGGTGTGTTAAGGCTTTCATATTTCTGACACACATTTCGTTCACTGTGTAGCAATTTTTTCCTGAATACATGACCAATGATGCTCATATCATGATGCAGCTATTAAAAATGTGTGCTCCTCCCAAGAGAATCCTCTATGTATTAAAAACATCAACACATGACTCAACTCTCATGTCTTACCACAGGCTTACTAATGATTTCTATAGCACTGATTCACTGAGACATCGTGGTGTTTCTTCTTTTTCTATATATTGTGGTTACTTTGGTTTCCTTTCATTACTTTTATGACAGGACAATGGAAGACTCCACATTGCTGCTTAGGGTACCATTCAATGTAGAAAGCTGGGTGTGCAGGAAAAAAAACTATGAGGATACAAGTGTTTCATCAGGTGTACAATTAGGGACAGTTCAGCTGCAAGGGGGGTGCTGGAATAAAACTGTTCCAACAATGCTTCTCATAAGGTTTGAAAAAAGTAAATGAGGTGAGGCTGGCAATATACTACACATACGTATGAGTGGATATATTCTGAAGCTTTTTGTTTTTTACCAGACTCAGAGATGCTTAAACAAAAGATTGCTACAGAACGTTATGAGGATATTGTCCAGAGACAGAAGCTTGTGGATCTCGCAAAAGCCCAGGCACAGGAGTTGTCTATCTTACAAGCTGAAGTGGAAAGACTGAGGATGAGAACATTCCCAGCCTTCTTTGATGTTCAAGAGTTTTAACATGATGATGCTAGAATCATTAAACAGCCATGAGGAAAAGACTATGTAAGATTTTTCCCTTTCCACCAAATTTAAGCCAAATTTTTCCCCTCCCCTCTGTTGCCTTTAAAAACTTTTAAAACGGTTTCATAGGATTTTCCAGTCTTCCAGATCCAGGTTTTGAAATACTCAAGGGGCTGCAGTGAGATAGGAAGATCACGCTCCCAATTCTACTGAAAGGTGCTTTTCCAGCAGAGGAAACAGAGCATTGCATAGTGCTCCTACTACACTAAAAAGCTCCACAGATTGTATTGAGTAACTCATGTTGATTTCCAAAAAATTGTTTTATGAAGTATTTCACAATGGAATAAATCTAAGTGTTCCTACTACATGTAATAAATTGTTCTTGTCATGAAATCTTTTTGCTGAGATCAAAAACATAACTGAAACTCTCACAGCCATAAAGAAATAGATTTCTGGGATAGACTAAGGACTCAGAAAAGACAACAAAGAACCTAGATGTACGGTGATTTCAGAAATGATACATAGTAGTAACAACAACAATTCCAGAAAGGTGGGCGGAAGAGTTAGGAGCTGGAAGATAGGGGAAGAGACAGAATTGAAACAAGGTGGTTTTAACTCACATCTGGGGTAGGAAGCTATAGGTACTAGTTAAGGGTCAAATGAGACAGCATGCTGAAAGCAGTAAGACAGACCACCTTTACAATCTCATCTTTTGATGCTCATACCCTCTGGGCTATAGGACAGCATATGATAGTTTTTTGCAGGAATCCAAGGGAATATTTATATCTGCATAAGTGTACTGACTTAACCTAGAGCAGCAACAGCAGCTAGCTAACAAGTCTCTCATTGAATTGCTAATAACACAACAGTTGTGAGACTTGGCATAGAACTAGGAATTTGAATGGGGACTCATTAATATGTATTCATCATTACCACAGATATATTTACACAGGCATTAATACAGTATTCATTTTGATTCTGGCCTTTAATAGTTTAATCTTAAAGTTATTATGAAGTACTAATGGGCACAATGAGACCTGGTCAGCGAAGACTTTCAGATATGCTTTAAATTTGCTCTAAGCTTTTTTTAAAAAAACATTCTGATACAGTAATATGGTTTTGGCATCCATATTAGCAATTTCCTATGGCCATTTTCCTATTGGAGAAACATGGATCACAAGGGCTATCATGCATGTGGGATTTCCCGCTTGTGAAATCTAGCACACAAAAGCCCCGTTGAAAGGGGGAAACCACAAAGATTGCTCTCACAAGCATTATTTTCCACAGGAAGAGTTCTTTATTTATTTAATATGCTGCCCATGTTTGAATCATGGGAGAGAAAAGGAAGAAAAAATATTAAATTATGCTAGAAAGGGATTGCACCTGCCAATAATTTTCAGCGGTGCTCTTTTTAACAAATGTATGGGAAACAGAAGATTCATTTGGAAACCAAAGTGATCTCATACATTTGTATTCAACATGTACTGCTTCAGTAAGAAATGCAAGAGGTGTGACCCCCTTAGTGGACTGGAGTTGTCATACATTACACATGAACAACAAAAGCATTTTCATGTCTGTCATTTCATAACAAGATAGCCCTAATCACCTGAAAATATGTAATTAGAGCAACACAAGAGAGCTTCTTTTCATGTTTTAAAAAGGAAGTAAAAACAAGACATTGCCTTTTCCACATGAGAACCATGTGGCTTTTACAACAGTCCACTGATGCAATTTAGAAGTTCATCTAACAGTGATATAAAACATTTATTTCACACATCTGCAAAGTCTTCTTCTGTTCTGTCATAACGTAACAGTTGATCATTCAGTCCCAAACTGTCAATTAATTGGGTGATACTTAATTTCCTGCCATCTGTAGATAAGGCTGATTGCAACTCATACAGTACTGCTTGGGAACTGCTTCGCCATTTTGATATCAAGGACCGCAATTCTGTTGGATTATTCTGAAAGAAGAAAACACAAAAACAGTGCTGTGTGATATGACTGGGATAGAGGGACAATCAAATGATGCTGAGCTTTACAGGAAGCCAAGGTGGTATATCAATACAGACAAAAAATAAGATACCAATGGTATCTCTTTGGTGACCTGCCAGGCTTCCATGACTAGGATTTACATCCCATGCCTTTATTCATATTTACTCTGGTTGAATATAGTTACTCTGCATGGTACCAAACTGGAATCACATTTAGGCTTACATACTACTTAGCTCAAATTACTAGAATACAGCACAAAGAAAAAAATACCTTCATGTACATTATCTTTCTGAAAATCTCTTCGAAGGCAATCATTATTAGACAATAATTTCTGTAAAAGGCATTTAATTTTAAAAGGTTTATTTCAATAACGTATCTTCTCACCTTTGATCTGTACATCTTGACCAATTTCAACCTTCGAAGGAGCTCCTCCTTTTCCTGAATCTGCTTCACTAATGTCACCTTTTCATCCAATAGCTCCAGTTGCCTGAAATCTGTTCCTAACAAATTAGCTTCTGTAGAATTCTGTGAAGTCTTACTGCATCCAGCAGCTACAGACAAACAGAGCTCTTTCTCTTGTACAACACTTTTCAAACATATGGGTTCAGCAGGAACTTTTCCCAAACATTTATCATTGTCTTGTGACACAGAACATGGTTCTTCATTAGATAAAATCCCATCTTCATAAACAGTACTTTTCTTTTCTTTGTCTATTTTAAGACGCTTTGCAACAGTAAAAGTTGAACAAAATGATCGTCTTGCTTTCTTCAACCGTTCTCTAAGGGTTGTACTCATCAGCTAAAGTAAATATAACAAGATAGCATTAAAGAGGACAGTGAATTTTTAAAAATAAACTTAGTTATGTTTGTGGAAATAATAAAAGTAAGCTATTAGCAAACAGCATACATGTGACAGTACCAGGCACCTGGGGCACATAACAATTGTTGATAGCCTGCCACCAGGAAGCCTCCATGCAAGTACACCCCACGTGCCCAGGGCCCTTCCAGAGCCTCTTTTGCTTCCAGCCAAATCCAGATGTATCCCAGAAGCCCAAGCCACCCAGCAGTTGTATTCCCTTCTCCAGAAAACCTGCAAGTCCAGCCAGAGTCAACACCAAGCCCAGCTAGAGAGACAAAAATGAAAATATAAAGCATAATAACTCCAAGAAGTTTTAGCATAGCCAGTACAAGCTCTTACACACTGTCATCAGAACCAAATCTTTCTCCAACAACACACTAAATAACATATCAGATTTATATATTTTTAATTAAATGGGCAATAGTGAGGCTACACACCTGTTTCTCTGAGGAAGAGCTGCTGCTGTTTTGAGCAGGTGTCCCACAGTTCTCTGGGGTGGAACATCTTGATGCAGGCTTGTTTAACACAGTTTCCATTTGGGCAGTGGTCTAATTTGCTAAGGAGATAAAAACAATCCTTGTAAGACTAGATGCAGGTCTCACCTGATCCTGGGAAATCTCTTTATGCACCACAGTTTGAATACCAGACACCATGCACCATAGTTTGAGGGAAGAGTTCAGGAGGGAACTCACTGATCTCAGAAGTATTTTGAGGCATACAGCTAGCCTGCCGCTGCAGTTGATAACCCTGCTCCCCTCAGCACTAAACATATTTATCTGCCCACCAATTGATTTCCAATCAACTTTTCTTACATTTTTAAGTCGCCGTTGTGAGGGAGAGGAGAAAATCCGGGAAGGACGGACCAGCCACGCCAACCCCTATTGGCAACCGTTCAATTTCCGCCGCCCCTTCACCTCAGAAGCAAAAATTTAAAAAAATAATAATCAGTCTACAGCTGGGCGACACGAGGGAATACAGAAGAGTTCTAAACCTCCCGCTCTGAGAAGGAAGCGAACCTTCGTAACGAAATCTCTTCTCGCGGTCTTTCCCCCACCCCACCCCCGAGTGCGCATGAGCCTGGTTTGTAACCAGAAAAGGAGGGGGCGGTGCTTTTTCTAGAAGGGATGGGTAGAGGAGGGGGACGGTTGTTAATACAGTAGTGGCGTTGGGAGGGAAGCGCGGTCTTAGGCGCGGCGGAGGGAAATCTTAACAGGAGACTGGAAGGAAGGGAGGGCGGGAAATGTTCTTTGCGTGAAGTCCTGGAGGGGGGGGTGCCCTCCTGTACGTTGTCAAATTAAAAAGGGGGAAAAAACAACAGCGTGGGGAGGGGGGCAGAGAGTTGAAGGGGGAAAAGCCGAACCTGGTGACACCTGGAAGACCAACAGATTGATTTCGTGGGTCAAAATCCACTCCTTCAGAGACATGGAGTGAGGGGCGCTGCGGTCACTCAAGCTCGCTTGTCGGTCTGGCATGCAGCAGGGAGAGGACTTGCATACGTTTAGTAGGCAGAGGATATTTCAACAGATGCCGTTTGCTTAAGATACGCCTGCTGAAATGTCCTCCTCTTCCTCTTGTTGTATGGGGCTGCCCTCGTCCCCTTATTGTGTGTGTGTCCTTTTTTTCCCACCCGGAGGGGAATCTCCTTGGGTTCCAAGGGCTTACTCTGAGGTCAATGGGTGTAGGTCGTTTGGGAAGTGTAAACAGACCCTTCGGAGCGAAACCCGACTTAGAAGTCAGTGGGGTTTCTTTTTAAGTAATACTGTATGTGGAGGAGAGTCCCAGCAGTGCGAAGGCTTGGCTAGATAGATGGTCACATTGGAGCAGGAAGGATTGGACTCGGTCGGGTTCCTTAAGGTCAGGCAGAGGTGCCTGGTGCAATCTTTGCATCCATGTGGAAGGGAAAGCTTACATTAAAACGTATAGTTTTAAAGGTGCCACACGTTTTTGTCTTGTTTCCGTTTCTTTGGATTTTGCCTGATAGGCGTGCATGGACTAACACGGCTACCTCCCTCAAAAGAAAAAAAAAGATGCAAACTTGATTTTCCAGACTGAAAGGGATCCAAATACTGTATGGAGGATCCACCTGCATGCTCTGTTCATGAAAATGCACCCAAACCTTGACACAACATTTTTTAAAATTTTATTAATGTTTTCATACCATCACATAGTGGATTGTGTTTTATGTTTTCCCTATTAGGGTTTTTGGAGGTTCTGATTTTTAGGTTTTGGAGTTCGGGCAGGAGTGGTGGTTGAGAGGGATAAAGGAGAATGTTTGTTTACGTGTTAATAACATTGTTCTGTCAACATGTGTATCAATAAACAATTTCTATTTGATTCTTTTAAGTGCAATCTTTGCATCCATGTGGAAGGGAAAGCTTACATTGAAATTTTTAAAGTTTTAAAGGTGCCACACGTTTTTGTCTTGTTTTCGTTTCTTTGGATTTTGCCTGATAGAAGTGCATGGACTAACACGGCTACCTCCCTCAAAAGAAAAAAAAAGATGCAAACTTGATTTTCCAGACTGAAAGGGATCCAAATACTGTATGGAGGATCCACCTGCATGCTCTGTTCATGAAAATGCACCCAAACCTTGACACAACATTTTTTAAAATTTTATTAATGTTTTCATATCATTACATAGTGGATTGTGTTTTATGTTTTCCCTATTAGGGTTTTTGGAGGTTCTGATTTTTAGGTTTTGGAGTTCGGGCAGGAGTGGTGGTTGAGAGGGATAAAGGAGAATGTTTGTTTACGTGTTAATAACATTGTTCTGTCAACATGTGTATCAATAAACAATTTCTATTTGATTCTTTTAAAATGACTTATGGCCTGGACCTCAATTATGGTACAGTATTAATAATAGGTATTGTTGATGAAATCAACTGGTGGCAGCCGAGGGGCACCTAGTGTGAGCTCTTTGGTGAAACGATTGGGCCATGTGAAATCGTGACAATAACAAATATCAGTATATGCTAACACCAGCAAATTTCTGCCAACATAACTTATTGTGTAGATTACAGAAGAGATACAGTAAGCAATAAAAAGGCTTATCATATATGATTTAAAGACGCTTGCAACCTTTTTGTTTAAAAAGATAAAAAAGGAATAAAATTACGTTTTTGAAAAGTGGTATAAAATGTGCATGCCAGTTTTGTAATGCCTCAACTTTATCACCTCTTCACTTACCTTCTTTTCTTCCTGAAGCAAAACATTTATGTATTTGTATGTGCTAAATTAACCCAAGATGTAATCTATTGAAAACTACCTGGACAGAGTCTTCACCATTGAATTTGATGAAGTTTACTTCTGAGTAAACATCTCCATGAATAGGAATCCAGTGCTTCCTGAAATTGTTTTGATTGAATCACTCTCTGTCTTCTTGATAGGTTAATGGGAAAGGAATTTATTCCTAATTCTCTTTGTATGATGATTGAGCCTTGTGTCACAGTGGTTAAATTGCTATACTGCAGCCCAAACTGTGCTCACGACCTGGGGTTCAAATCCAGGTTGGATTTTGGTTGACTCAAGGTTTACTCAGCTTTCTATTCTTCTGGGGTCAATAAAATGAGTTCCCAGCTCACCGGAGGGGGGGGCAATGTGTAGCCTGCATAATTAACTTGTAAACCGCCCAGAGAGTGCTTGGGACGGTATATCAGCAGCACACTTTATGTAAGCACGATCTCATTTCTCAATGAGGATTTCATTGGAGTGCCATTCTTCCAACCTTACACGTGCAAGTGTCCATATGGTGGGGAACACCCATAACAATATGCCATTTAGTATTCAATATACATACCAGAATCAGGGTACCCAGGTTAACTTGCCTACTGCCTTTCTTAAACATTTATATTGCAAAGACTTGAGCTCTAGGCAGGAAATCTAGAATTCTCACAAACTTTAATGATGTTGTTATTACTCACTGGGCTAGAAAGTAAATCACAGCCTACTTGTCAGGTTACTCCTTTTTAACATTGTAAATTGATCATCTGATCTAGCTGAAAGCCATATGCTGTGATTTATCCTGACACACAAAGCACACAGTGTAGTCATCATGTTTCTGTAGCCTGGAGCATTAAGGTGGAGATGCTTGTGTACTCAGTTATTAGTTGGATAAATTTTTGTTGGCCCTTTTCATTTCAGTATGAATTTACTGCTTTGTTTTTCCCATGTTTTCTGATTTGTAAACATCTGTATAACCTGTGCCAGAGTTATAAAGTTCCTGTTATACAAATCTGCAACAAATCATAAACAAAACAACAAAACACAGATGGCACATCAAGGACTATGAAAAATATTATGATACAGGCTTTTTTTGAAGCATAGTTTGCTTCATCAGACACACACTGACACATATACACTGCTATGGATAGTCACTGTGGTTATTGTGCAGATATATATAAGCTTTGATTTAATTGCCACAGACTACTTTCAGCATATATTACCAACAAATTGTACTGATTATTTTTTCTCTCTCATCCATATGATACCTAACTATATGCTAATTTGCTGAGACAACACTTATCTAGTGAACTATTCTTGTCTTCAATAGCTTATGTTTTAATAAATCCACAAGGCTACAATCTTACACCCATTTGTATGGGATTAAGCCCTTAAATTGACTTCCTTTTTGTACTGTTGTTACTGTCAAATGACTTGTGACAACGCAATCCTTTATAGGATTGTGCTTTTAGTCATTAGAGTGGAACACAACCCTTTTTTGTTTGTGCTACAGCAGGCTACCATAAAATTAATTTTGTCCAGTTGATCAAGATATTATTATTTTTATCAAGGTAAGTGAATAGTAAGTCTATTAAATATTGCTTTATTATTACAGGCAAGTTTACATGGAATCAGAAGTGTTGGCTTGTTGTTTAGTATATTATCAGCTTTCTACATTCCATTCAAAAGTACAAAGAGAAAAGACTGGTTAGGCCTGGAATTTTTCTGCCTACATATAATTGGATCACCTCAGATTACATTGAACAATCATGCTGAATGCTCTTTATGGGCTGTGTTTGACAATCCACTCATGTATGGTCTTCTCTCATTTAATCATACTGCATAATAGAAGTTAGGAAGATGCTTGAATTCCTCGGGGCAAAACACAAGTCAGGACAAGAAATACAATCCTGACCAGAAATTCAAACCAAATCCTTACAGTCATATTTAGCAATACTGTGTAGTCCAATGCATGTCAACTGTTTTACAACATTTACTCCTGAGTAAAAGGTATATAAGCCTGCAGCCTGAGTTGTGTAATTTTCATATGACAGGGTACTGTTGTAATACAACATTGATAGTCAAAGGCAAACCAGGTGAAATTAAGTGTATAGGTCACATTGTTCTTGTATTTCATGTTTGGGAAACCATTGTCTTCTGGATTGCTGCTCCTGCAGCATTAAAAGCAAAGAAATGCTATAGGGCTAGGCAGTCCTGGAAGAGTAGAATGGCTGAGCAGTGTCAATACAAAAATGGAATTAAATGACAGAGAAAATCGTTCTATAAAATGAAGGGAGGAAGTTGTTATTATCACTGTCATATGACTGGTCCGTCCTATTTAAACTTGTAATTGCCTCTGGATTGCCGTCATCACTCTTACTGCCGGATTGCAACTGCTGTCAGCGATCTACAAAATATTTTCCAATATGAAATGCCCTCCACCATCCTGAATCTGTCAATGGCTTTCATACAGCAAAAGGGATTTCCAGAGATCATCAGAACCTAAAGTGGGGTATAGGAAAATTTAAATTAAACTAACAGTAGCATTGCAATATGCACAGAGTAAAGTTGTGTAGACTGGATTGCTATATGTGTACCTGCATAATTATGACTGTAGGATCTACCACCCTTTTCAATCTATTAGAAACATATTAGAAATCAAACTGTTACCAGGCTTGAGAAAAGGACAACACCAGACAAAATGCCTAGGGCATAAGCCCCTGAAGGACCCAAAACGCTGGAGCCCCAGACCATGGAGAAAAAAGCAAACAATACATTACAGAATAAAATTCAAGTGCAAAAATTGGCAATGCCTTTATAGATCACTAAAA